AGGTTAAAGCAGAAGTCAAGAGAAATTGATCATGATCCAATTGACTCAATAAACATGCCTCAATTGATTAAAATCATCCAAAAGTCATTACAATCAAGATTCCTCAATTGATTAAAATCAACATGTCTTGCCCGTGATTTCCATTCTTCATCAGCCTTCATGATCCAACCCTCGGCATAAAATCCATGGGCGAGGCTCTTTGTGGATATGGTCGTGTTCTGGAAGATGCCCGCTCTTGTTCTGCTCCCGAGACTAAAACACGCTCGCACTAAAAAGCATGAGCGGGACTTCGGATGAAACACAGTTGTGTCCTAGGCATGGGATGACCGTGTTCTGCTCCAGCTTCACCGAATGACCTCCAAATGACCCGAAACTCGCACCTAAGCCTTCATTCAATGACTAGGATATGAAATGTGACAAAAGAGCACAAACTAGCAAAAAATAGGCCAAGGAAACACAAATTCGAGCCAAAATGCTTAAGAAACAAGGGTGCAAACATGTGCAAATACGACGTTATCAAATTCTCCACACTTAATCGTTTCCTTGTCCCCAAGCAAACTAAGTCAGACACAAGGTAAGTTTAAAAACTTTTAACCATGCCAACTTTGGGGACATATCATATAGGCACAAAACACGTGAACCTTACTAGCTTTTAGACACCAACACATGAACAACAACAGCAAATTCCAGGGCAACCACCACAAATGACATTCGAGTGCAGCAAAATCGGGAAGAAGAAGAGTCTCCCTTCTCTTCACCGACCAACATAGACTTAACTCAACCACTCATTCAAAACAGTTACCTCATACATAAAATTCAAGACATCAGAAGCAAGACCAAACAATTTAGGTCCTCGTCGGGGTATATAATATGAAAATTGAATCACTCACTCTCGACCAGTGGGGTCAGGACAAAATTTGATGCAAGATGTGTGCATACTCATTCTCTCAATCCCTAACAGTAGCCTCTAAATGCTAGAGTTCACATATCGACTGTCACCACTAACTAGTCATGAGGTCTTAAACACAGGTGCAGATGACTGGCTAGGATCTTGGACATGGGGAAAATGCATTTTAGGTGGTGGAAGAATTCATTACACAAGGTACCACAGTTCCAAAACCAACACAACAACATTCATTCGAACCATTTAATTTCTCTCTACTATTTTGCATTAATCAAGTTCTTAAATCACAAGAGTGAAGGAGGTTACAACATGTTAGTACTTTCAAGCCAAGATGCTAAGAAATACTATTTAATGAGCATGATTCATATTTTAGTGGTGGCTCTCTTTTTCTTTCATTTTATAGTTTTGTTTTTGTTCTTAGAAAACCACCACTTTTGCTACATTCTTTTTATCTTTGCAAGCACATGCCCAACCTTTAAGAACTACCTCCAATCCTCACCTTATTTCCAGCAAAAAACAGCAGAAAACATGCAAAAACCACTTTGTGAAACCTCTAAGAGCTGCATAAGGGTGATTTTTCATTGTAGACACAAAAGAAAGAAAGTTACACGGCTCAAAGGGGCTTACTAGGGGGTATGACACACTAGGACAATTAATTTGGTCGTGGGTTGATCCTATGCATCCATCGTCCTAATTAGTGGCAACATGAATGCTACACGTCATGGAAGAGGGATCTATCGCATAAGAAAGAAAAGAGCATGCTCAAATCTCACATGGTTACTTATATGCTCTACCTCTCATTCTGATTCCCTAAACTAGATGCATAAACGACTATAAAAAATGAGTGATCAATCCAAGTCGCAGTTGGTAAGCAAACATTTGAAAAACTGAACCCCTACACAACTCTACTGCATGTCTCAGTCATCATTATAGGTTGTTTTAGTTACAAACAAGTTATCATGCATCAATGATAACATTCAATTGATTCACTACATAAAACCACAGTGATCATATGAACATGCAAACATCAGTACTTGGAGCCCTCAAATCTTGAGATTTGGACTGTGTACTAGGCTCCAAGCACACAAACATAAGTTCCAAGAAGCACAAAGCACCCCACACACTTAAGTTCGACATTGCCCTCAATGGAGCAGAGGGAAGATGAATGATGTTACCGGGAACGCACGACAGAAGGCGGAAACTGGAGAGTGGACCAATCAAGAATGTGAGACTGGAAGGGGCCAGTCCAAAGGCACGGAGCTGGATTTATCAAAACACACTGGGTGATTGAGAAAACAACTATATTTCCAAGTGGAAAACCAAAAACAAATAAAAGAAAACAAACATGGGCGAACACAAGTAGGGACACGGTCATGTTCCCTGACCCAGTCGCCCATGCTTTTTAAGCCGAGCACAGATGGGGGCGAGGCAGAACCACGTGCAGATATGGGGAGAAACACGGTCGTGTCTCCTTTGTGTAACGCCCGTGCTTTTTATATTGAGAGCAAATGGCAAGTTGGGGGAGAACACGGGCAGGAACACGACCGTGTTCCCGACCGTGTGTTTACTACCGAACCTGTTCTACTACCCCCAAAACACCACATTTCCAAGCAATCAACACGTTTGGGATCCGACTCAAAACTCCACATAAACACAGGCAAAAATATGACACCCGAAAGCCACGGGACCGACTTCAGAAAGACTCAAAACAAACACAAAGACTCAAAAACCGAGGTGGGGTTGCCTCCCCACAAGCGCTTCTTTACCATCTTTAGCTGGACGCTAACGGTGGATGCTCATGGCGGTGTAAGAACAGGTGCCTCCAAGAGTGGATCCACATCGCTCTTGAGGTACAGCTTCAGATGGTGGTCATGCACACGGTGGGTATAGCCACCAGCACATGTCAACTCGATCTGGGCATCCGGCAGGATGCATGCCAGTGAATACTAGGATGGCCAGGGTGGTTGTGGCTTATGGACGCGGGACAAGAGCAAGGGTGATGTTTACATCGAGATTCGTCGGTGGCAAAATCGGCCCAGTCAGCTTCGAGTTGGGTCTGATTGGAGGAGGATTTCCAGAGGGGTGTAGGTGGCGGGCGCGACGGCTAGGCTGATTGGGTCGGCAAGGTTTACTACCGCCCTGGTTTATTATGATGGGATCAGGATGGGCCGGGCCAGGATCTAGGTCCACCACCAATCTGGTTGCGGGTCAAAGAGAAGGCAAGGCAATATGGGCTTCGGGTGTGGGCTTCTTGGACAGAGCGAGTGGGGCGAACGGAGGCTAGGGCTGCGGAGCTGGGCCGACCGTGACAGGTGGGACGAGAGGACCAGGAGGCCCGAGCGGGCTGAGTGGGCTAGGAGGGCCAAGGGCCCAGGCAGACCAGGCACGGGCGCTGGCTCTGGCGAGAGTAGGCCGTGGCCACTGAGCCTAGGTGAGATGATTCGCGGGCTGGGTGATCCATCATAGTCGCATTGGTTTGGTTCAGATCAGACCGACGACCGAGTTGGGCCATTTCGTCATAAACTAGCTCAATTGGAATTTTCGTAATATAATGGAGGCGAGGACCCGTCCAATTGGTTTGCGCGGGTGGAACAATTTTTCAAATTTCAAGAGACTCTAGAAGAGATAAGGTGCTACTCGCATCTTATCATTTGGAGGTAGACGCCAACCAGTGGTGGCAATGGATGTAGCACACCGACATTACGACTGGGATGGTGATGACTTGGGCCCGATTTCGCTAGGAGTTATGGGCTAGATTTTGTCTGTCGGAGAGCAACTCGAGTCATGAAGCTCTCGCTAAGATCAAGTAAACGGGATCTTGAAGCGATTATCTCTTAGCTTTTGAGAGATTGGGCAATCAATGCTATGGTTGGACCGATGAAGCATTAGTGGGCTCATTCATTGGTGGGCTCAAATCTGAAATCTTCGACTCAATCCGCATGTTCAAGCCAGGTTACGGGGAGAGCAGCGATCCGACTCGCCAAAGTGAAGAATAAGGAATTGGAGAAGCATCGTGGGACGCTGTGGAATCCGCCACGAGCGTTGGCGGAGACGACGACGGAGGGGGCACCGCCACCGCCTCGACAACCACCGTCGCGCACCCCCAATGCACGAAGAATCTCGTCAGAGGAAGTAGCATGTTGCCGAGCTCAAGGGCTTTGTTTCCCCTGCGACGAGCGATTCACGATTGGCCATCGATGTGCTAATAAGATTGTGCTGGGGGGGATTGTTACGAGAATTGGGCTATTTATCTGGGCCTAGTTATTCTTATTGTATTAGTCTTTTATTATTATTGTCTTTATTAGTTGTTTCCTTGTTCAAGTAGGATTTGATTATTGTTAGTTAGTTCCTTGTAGGAGTAGGAGTCACGTCCTAGATAGGAAAAGGTGGAGGCTTCTATGCCTATCAATATTTACTATGTCTTTTGTTTAATGTCACGAGAAGATTGGAACCCAATTGAGTTTATTGCTTTATGTTTTTTAGGAGTAGTTATAAGGTAATTTGGGGTTGATCTCGCCATCAAGGAGGTCCTCTACTCTAGAACGTTCGAGAAACGTATCCGAAGGTTCGCGTGCGTGGGTTTTACGAGAAATCTATGTAACAACACCTCTGGTTTGGTCTATCTACGATACTTACTTGGCTCCATGTCCAACCATACGACCAGTCATTTTTTAACTGTATTAAAAATTAAAATGGCTTCTTTGTGATGGATGAGACCATGGTTGTCATGTCGGTGACATGCCGACAGGTTGCACCTAATTCAACTGGCGTGAACACCACGGGTATGATCGACATGATCGATTTAAGAGCTCTAAGTAAAATGACGTTGTTTTAGTGAATTTAATTACTAACAATTAATTTATTGTATATTTTATGAGTTTGAAAGTTAAATATTGAAGTTATCTATTGTATTTACCCTTATATTAATGTCATTTCACATTTCTACATATTTTATTGAATCGGTAAGAATTGATATAAATCGATTGTACCACCGGTCGAACCATTCCACTTATTAAACCAAATGTATAAACCGGTTTGAGAATGAGACGACAATAAGATGTCATTTTAGGTACTGGGCAAGTGGCATCTTACTGAACACCAGAAAAGGTCGTGGTGGTCGAGTGAAGCGAATGCGGATAACATTTTCATCGCAGGTATGTGCAGTGCAGTGCAGTGCAGTGCAGTGCATGCGAAGCGAAACAGAGAGTGAGAAGAGGTTAAGCAAGCACAGTGGTAGTATCTTTAGCAAGTAAGATCTTAATCTGACTAGAGTAGCAAGCGAAACCATATGGCGGGGACGCTACTGACGCCGGTGAAAGCTCAAATTCTCTTATTATCATCGCCCACCAATCTCCAACTTACCCAGACTTCCAAGCGTCGCTACCCACTACCTCTGCCTCTTCATGTCCACCACTATCGTGAAACGCTGGCCACGTCCAAACGTCGCCGCTGTCGCATTTCCACATCTTGCTCTGCCGCTACGCCCACCTCCGTCCCCTCCCAACCCCCACCGACGCCACCTCCAGATCGGGGCGAGAGTGATGATACCGATACCGGATTAGATGCTGAACGGAGGAAAGCGCCGGAGATACGAACGCTCTTCCGGAGATTCTGGAAAGTGGCTGCTCCCTACTGGTTCTCAGAAGACAAGGCCGAAGCGCGATTGCAGCTCGCAGTCGTCTTCGCTCTAACCTTGGGTACCACAGGCATCAGCGTTGGCTTCAACTTCCTCGGCCGGGACTTTTACAATGCTTTAGCTAGTAAGTCAACCTGGCTAAATTCTTTGTTTGTTGCTGTATATTTGTTGTGCTTCTTGCTTGGGTTTAATTGAAGCAACCTTACCTTGTTTAATGAAGACAAGGATCAAGAGCAGTTCACCAAGCAACTAGTTTACTATTTGGGAGCCTTTGCGGGAGGAATACCGGTGAGCACTCCACTCAACATATAATAGCTAGGCTAAGCTAAGCTTCCTTCTTCTTCCTGCATTTCCTTAGGTATTCAATTCATTCTTTCGCTTGTTTTCGTTTCTCTTCCTTGTGCCTGATTAGCATCAACTACTACCTATTTATTTTGTCATCTCATGCCATTTGCAGTTCTTTGTGCTGAGAGACTACGCTAGAGAAGTTCTTGCTTTAAGATGGAGGTCTTGGATGACAAAGCATTACTTGCAACGGTATCTGAAACACAGGCTATTTTACAAAATCCAGTCTCAGTCCATCATTGATAATCCAGATCAGCGCATCGTAGATGACCTAAGTTCCTTCACTGGGACTGCTCTTTCCTTCTCATTGGCTCTATTCAATGCTGCTGTTGACTTGATATCATTTAGCAACATCTTGTATGGAATTTATCCTCCTCTCTTCATCGTCCTCCTTGTATATTCTGTTGGCGGAACTGCTATTAGTGTTTATCTTGGAAAGGTTAATCTTCTCTCAGCTATTAGTGTAGAAATCTGTTTTCTGGCTCATTCATTTACCTTATCTACGCATTATCCTTTTCTCAGTCAAAAGCTTTAATTTAATGCGTGCTGTTTTTCTCCCTATTTCAGGAACTGGTCTCTTTAAATTTCATGCAAGAGAAGAAAGAAGCAGATTTTCGGTATGGACTTGTCCGTGTTCGAGAAAATGCTGAATCGATTGCTTTCTATGGAGGTGAAGAAAACGAAATGCAACTTTTGCTGCAGCGCTTCCGAAGTGCCTTTGAAAATTTAACAGTAAGCCTCTTCTGATGATTATATCTTTTCTCTCTTATTATTTCTGCTCTTTTGGGTAATTCTCTTCTTTGGCTCATATTTTGTCAACGGAATTTACATAAGCCATTGTTGCATAACAGCAGTGCAGGACTAGTTTCCAAATGCTACATAGAAGTTGCTTTCCCTATCGAAAAAGCTTGTTTGTCTCATCTTTTGCAGATTCCTTAATAAGGATCCTTGCCCTTTCACTTATAGTTTCTCACTATACTCCTCACAATCAAAGCGAAAGCATGTCCAAGTGCCGCTTCCATTGCCATATGTTAAGCTGACTCTAATTTGCTTTGAAGATCGTGTTTTCCATACATTGCCTGAATTTACTGTGTACTACATTGAACTTATGGTTCAAATCAAAACAGAGAGAAATAAACCCTGTACAATAGAGCATTGTTGAAGGATTTCAAGTTGCGCCATATACTCATCTAAGTCTACAGCTAGCCATGATAAGCTTTTGTATCCTACCCGGCCTTTGCTGTAGTTGCAGGATTGAGATACTAATTGTTTACTAGATAGATGTAGTAAGCAGATTGGTTTTCTGTTGCTCCTTCCTGATCAGTGGAGAGTTTTACTTGAAATCATACAGTATATATCTGATTATGCAACCTGGTGCTATTTCTAACTTTGGATTTATTTTTTCAAACAGTTATTGCTATCCTAACTCAAATGATTCACCTACTGATGCTTTTTTTCTTATTAATCAGCAACTGTTGATATCTTCAAGAAATCTAGAGTTCTTCACCAACGGCTATAGATACCTGATTCAGATTCTTCCAGCTGCTGTTGTTGCGCCTATGTTTTTCTCTGGAAAAATTGAATTTGGTGTCATTAACCAATCTGTATCAGCCTTTAACCATATCCTTGGAGATTTTTCCCTTATTGTGTACCAGTTCCAGTCCATCAGCGCATTCTCAGCTGTCATTGATCGCTTAGGTTCTCTCTCTCTCTCTCTCTCTCTCTCTGGTGCATATGAACCCATATAACCTTCCGGCCCTATCCATGATTGCTCGCAATTACATTTTACTGGATTTTAATTATTTTTACACATTGAAAGCAATATAAACTTTACATCAGACATGCATATGTATGACAGCTTGAGTTAGTGCTTCTCCCCGCCTATACTAATAATGGAATGAGTCATTATGAAAAATATCTGCTAGATCTTATTCGATATTTCCTAACAAGACAAGTCAGCTAGCAAGTCCACTCTTATCCCAAAACCTCTATGTCTCATTCAGACCACAAGCAACTGTTTTGTCGGTCGGTTGTCCCTAGTATGATGCTCACTGAAATCTGAAATGCACTCCTGAAAAGAAACACTTAATAATTTCTGTGAGCCTTTTCTGTTTCTATACTAGGTCATGTTTTTTAAGTGAGATTTTCAAAGATAAATATTGTAATTGATTAGATGCTAAAATCAAAGTGGTGACATCATTGGAGCCAGAATTACTATATTTGCAGAAAAAAGTGAAACATGACTTCTGAGTTGTGCACATCTCATGATAATCACTTTTCCTTCCTCTAGTCCATTCTTCTGTATGTTCTGATCATCATGTACACGCCTTTGTTGTGACGAACAGTATTGTGCTGTGCCCAAAGGTGCTTCCTCCTATTTTCTATATTCCACCATTATTATTTGTTCAAAATTCTAGACAAGGACAATCAGGGTTGAAATTAGTTGCTTGTAGATCACTGTGTTCCTTACGCTACTTTTGCAGGTGAGTTCGATGATCTATTGGATGGCATTAGCTCAAAGTCTCTCTTGGAAACCCAAGAAGAGATCACGGTTGAGTACTCCCCAGCCAGAAGTTCGATATCTCAGGAAGCTAACGGGTCTGTCTTGAAGGGCCAGTGTCAAAATTTACTAGTTGTGAAGAACCTGACTTTGCAAACTCCAAGAAGTAAAGCTACATTGATTAAGAACTTGTCATTGATTGTGAACAAAGATGATCATTTGTTGGTTAGTGCGTCATGTTGTATCAGAATGATTAACCTATTATGCATGTTAGAGGATGGGACTTAATTGTACTAAATGTATATGACAGGTCATGGGACCGAGTGGGAGTGGTAAAACTTCGTTGTTAAGAGCACTGGCTGGTCTTTGGAATTATGGGAAAGGTGAAGTTATCTTCTGTGATGGTGATGGGGAAAATACTGAGGCACTTACCTCTTCAGGAATAACAGGTATCCAAGGAAGTAGTCTCATGAAGAGAAACCAAAGGAGCATACTTTTCCTTCCTCAAAGACCATATATGGTTTTGGGAACACTACGCCAGCAATTGCTTTATCCCACATGGTCAGATGGCGGGATTTCAGTAGCCAAGGATACTGAATCAGCTGGTACGTTTTCGAATTGTCCTTTTTTGCTCTCCATCTTGATAGAACACATATGCATAAACTTTCTTTTACGGTTATGAGACAAGAAACATTCTCTAACATGATTTTCTAAGTTCGTAACGTTTGCCATGTTGTCTTGTGCGAGTGTCTGTGTGACTTCAGTACACCATGATTCATTTTATTGTAAGATTGTTATTCCAGTCAACTCCATGCATTGGAGTCAGAGAAATGCCTAACAGTGTCATATTTGAAACAATGTTGCTCGTGCAATTTTTTAGTATAGTATATGCACATATCTCTGTTTCCTCCCTGCTTCTGGCTGCATGTATGAGACTACGGTACCTTCTTCATCATTCAAGCATCTCTCACCGGTCAACTGACTAGCATTTCCCGTTGTTACCATTATTCCTGAGTTGTTTTGTGTTATTAATGTTTTTTTTTATCAAAAGCTATACAAGGTTTAGTTGGCTCTTGCTTCTGTTACCTTTATTGGACCTAGGGTCTGGTTAGTTAAGGGAGAGCATTACAATGGCATGTAGGAAGCAAGCAATGACCGAGATCTGTGAAGAAGTCTAACAGAGTGGAAGCTCATCATTCTTGTAGTTTAATCATGTCTGATTGCTGAATACTTACTGGAAAAGAGTGGAGGAGCGTTAGAACTAAAGCTGAGAAATGAGGGATGGGTTTATTTATTATGGACAGATTCAGCAACTTTGTCGTTGATTGGGAAGCCCTGCTCAGAAGAAGGTGGTGGTGGTAGGAAGCCAAGCACAGAGGACTTGATAGAAGTTCTAGAGAGAGTGCGTCTGAGCTATGTATTGTCACGTTGCGGTAACTTAGACTCGACACATGAGTGGTCTAGCGTGTTGTCCCTTGGTGAGCAGCAGCGGCTTGCTTTTGCACGATTGCTACTTTCAAAACCCAAGCTGGTTTTGTTGGATGAGTCTACTAGCGCCTTGGATGAAGCCAATGAGGTACTTACTACCTGTAGGCTCGCTGTCTTGGATTCTAGATTTGCATCATTAACAAGTCTTGATTATAGGATCTTGCATTCTTGCTGTCATAACACTCGGTACTGAATTCGTCTTTCTTTTCTGTCTATTCAGGGTCATCTTTACGAGGAGATAAGAGCGGCTGGTATAACATATATTAGTGTAGGCCACAGGCGAACTCTGTTAAAGCAGCATACGAGGGTCTTGCATATTGCCGCTGCAGCAGAAAATGCAAGCAACAATCAGGAATGTGATTGGCGTGTTGAGTCCATCAGTTCGGTGGCCATCTGATATGATTATAAGGAGAAGCATCCGTACGTGTCCCTATTTCATGCATGCTAGGCTACTGTACTAGAGCTATATGAGCTAGGAAGGAATCCTGGCGATCACATGAGAAGTGACAACGGCCCTCTCCTGCGACAGAAAGATCGATCACGTGGAATCACCCAGGCGGATTTCGGCCTGACTAATACTCTCGGACGCTTGAATATTTTCGTACTGCTGAACTATTAAATTTGACGGGGTGCCCAAAAATATTTATGGGTCCAATATATGCGTGCGCTCTATCCTATAAAACCACAATCTATTTTTACCGTGATAAATCTACTGTCCAATCTATTTTTACCGCGACAAATTAATTCAAAACAACATAAGAGACAAGTTAAGGCGGCAATAAGGCCAATTGAGACGTGTGCGCCCCAGTTGGGCTTATTGCCAGCTCAATAGGGGTAGCATGCGGCAGCTCAACAATAGAGGTGGCAATTGGATCGGATTCGTGAATTCGTGGATTGGATTGGTGGATTCATGGATCAAATGAATTGGTGGATTGATCCATGAATCAAAATGATATCCAAGGCTTGGATCAAAATGTAAAATTTGAAAAGTTTTGGTACTAAAATGTCATAATGAAAAATTTTAGGTGCCAAAATGTAATTTTTCAATAATATTTTTCGTATAAAAATATAGATTTTAGGTACCAAATTGTAAAATATAACAAATATAGATACCAAATTGTAATTTATCATTTGGATCTATGGATTGATTCATGAATCCATAAACCCAATTGAATTTGGATCAAATGGATTGGATTAGGTGGATAATTTAGTGGATGGATTGGATTCATGGATTTGGATCCTAATTGCCACCTCTACTCAATATAGGCTTATTGCCAGCTCAAAAGGAATGCCACGGAAAGGGGAAAGACGGTCAAAGAAAGGAACTGACAAAAAACTTCTTCCAACGTAGCTTGTAGTAGCAAGTAAACAAAGAAGAGGTGAAGCTGAAAGCAATTCCCTATCCCGGAAAGAAGGTTGTGGCATCCAAGATCCAACTCCAACATTGAGTATTGACGCTTCTACGGCTCGATTCCCGCTGCCAAGTTCGTGGACCGGAAACCTTCGTCGACGGCTTATCCCCTTCAGCTGGAACAATCCTGTCATGGTGATACCAGCTTTGCCACATGATCGAAATCCAAACAAATGAACAATCACGTTCTATTGCTGGGAGTTCTTCTTTTTCTGTCTTTTCTGTTTGTTAGTGGTTTGTCTATGGTTTGATTTCCTGTTTCGTTTCTGCAGTTTCCTTCAATTTTTCGTAAGTAGTGCTTTACTCTTGTTTTCAAATCTCTTGTTGTTGTTCTATCTGTTCCTTTTGCAATCGCATGGTTACTTAGCTTATGTTTTTACTGATCTGGTGTAAAATACTACTGCTTGCTCTACTTCGGCCCTACCATATTTGTGCCCTCTCTGTTAATTTTTCTCGATTCGTTGGCTACTGCTCTGTTTTTGTGTACCTCTGTTTTGCAGGCGTACAAGGAAGAAGGTAGTGGTGGTTTGGGAAGAACGACAGATCCGATTTTCCGTGGTTCTCTCGTCAGACCTCCCTGGCGGTGTGGCGGTGGATTGATCAGGACCTGACCCACGGGTCGACCCAATTTGACCCTGACCCGGTGAGAAAAACGGGCCGCACGCACTCGCCGGGCCGACCGCTATAAGGTACCGGGTTGGAGTTTAAATTGCGTTATTTTTTTCTCTAGTTTGCGAAATGTACCTATTTTCCAATTTTTCTTTTCGCCTAATTCAATCTTTGGAATACTAAGTTGAACATTTGAATATTTATGTTATATAAGTGTGTGTGAATTTTCACTATATGTTGGATCTAAGTACGATATGTTATTTTGGTGTAATATTATATGCTATAACTCATATGTTAGATAAAATTTGATATAATTTATGAGGATAAGTACAATATAATGACTCTTTCTATATTTCCGGGCCAAACCGGACTAAAACGGTTGACCCATTAACCCTTGACCCACTAGCTCAACCGGGTCCGGGTCAACCCGCGAGTTAACAACCTTGATCAGGACTCTTCTTCAAGGCGGCCGAGTGGGTAATGATAGCGAGATTTGTGTACACAAAAGTGGCGGGTGAAGGACACGTGGATTTGCCCTTATCCCCTGCCTGCGTCGGGAAAAGTTAATCTGCTAACTTGAAAATTCGTTAGCAGATACTAACTGATATCCAAAATATATGAACTAGTATCCAAGTATTAAAATATCTAGAGAGCACAGACTAGTATTTAAAGTTTGCTAACTGATATCCACCATGCATCAACTATTATCCCAAATTCACAAACTAATATCTAGACAACACAGAATAGTATTCATACAGAACATAATTAGTATCCAGATAACGCATAAAAGTATCCAAATAACACATAAGAGTATCCATATTGAATACTAGTTGGTTGATTGTGGATATTAGTTGGTATCTGCTATCTGGATACTAGTTTGTGATGTTTTGAATACTAGTCTGTGCTATCTAGATACTCAACAGACTTGGATATTAGTTCATACATTTTGAATATTAGTTAGTATATACTAACGAATTTTCAAGTTTGCAGAATAACTAGGCTGGCCTGCGTCTCAGTGATGTGAAGGTCATATGGCTTTGTCCAGTACCTGGGCTGAATTTTATGAGTTCTTTGGTCATATTAAATGGCCTGAATGGCTTTTCCGGATATGGGCTTTGTTGGCTTCGACCCGTTTTTTTTTTTTTTTTTTTTTTTTTGCGCAGGAGCCGTGGTCTCGTGACATTAGGATTTGGGCTTTGCGGTGTTATAATTGAAATTTTATATAGAAAATTTTAGGTGTTATCATGTTGGATGTGTGAGACGGGTATTACTCATGGGTACTCGAAACCCATGGGTATTATGATGTATTTGGAAAACTCTTTACACATAGGTATAGAACTGGTATGAATTTGGATATTTGAAAGCGGAGATGGGATGGTTTAGCCAAATCCGTCCATTGATATCCTTAGTAGGGGAGAGGAATAGATAAATGCAGCTGAAGTGCGAGTGAGATGTAATAAACGCACACTAAAAAGCTGAAGCGAAGCCACGGTACGGAAATATGGGGAAGAAGGCAGTTCTGATCGGATGCAATTACCCAGGAACCAAGGCGGAACTGAAGGGATGTGTGAACGATGTCCGTAGGATGAACCGTTGTCTCGTAGATCGCTACGATTTCTCCCCCGACGATATCACGGTCTTGATCGACACGGACGACTCCTTCACCCAACCTACCGGGAAAAACATCCGATCCGCTATCACCAATCTTGTAAGCTCCGCCTCACCGCGGGATTTTCTCTTCCTCCATTACAGCGGCCACGGCACCAGGCTACCCGCCGAGACTGGAGAGGAAGACGATACTGGCTATGACGAGTGTATCGTCCCCTGCGACATGAATCTCATCACCGGTATGTATTTTTTCGTGTTTCCTAGTTTGGCTGTATGTTGTACCCGTTGGTCCGCTGCTTTGTTTGAGACCAGATCTGAGATCTGATTATAGAAACGGAAGAAGAAAAGGGGTAAATAGTCGGATGGGATGGATAGATAGGATAGGTGTGTCCCATATTTTACTAATTAATAAAATCAATTAGTGCTCATATGGTTCTCGGAGATCCACAGAATTGATAAGGTGCTTCCGTCCGCTTTCCTTCTTATTCCTCTTGCTCCATCTAATTCTCTGGATGTCAACGGCATGTCGTTTCGTACTTCTCTTCAATGTGATTCTGCCTTGGCTGTTGGACTTGGACACCGTCTATGCCTGATCTTTTTCCTTTCCCTATGAGCACTGCAGATGATGATTTCAGGGAATTTGTAGATAAGGTACCTGAAGGCTGCCGCATAACAATTGTATCAGATTCGTGTCACAGCGGGGGCCTTATTGACGAGGCCAAGGAACAAATCGGAGACAGCACAAACCGTCCAGAACAGAAGGAGAACGAATCAGAGTCTTCTGGTTTTGGATTCAAAAGCTTCCTGCACCAGACTGTAGAAGGTGCATTAGAATCCCGTGGAATCCACATTCCTTCTGGTCTGCGCCACCACCGTCATGGTCAAGGTGGTGGTCGGGGTGAGGAAGAAGAGCTTGATGTTGCTGATAAGGAGGTGGAAACTGAGTTTGGTGAGCGAGCCTATCTGAAAAGCAGATCCCTGCCTCTGTCAACACTCATAGAAATACTCAAGCAAAAGACGGGCAAAGATGACATTGATGTAGGGAAGCTGAGGCCAACTCTTTTTGACGTGTTTGGAGAAGATGCAAGTCCCAAGGTGAAGAAATTCATGAACGTCATTTTGAACAAATTGAAACACGGGGAAGGGGAGAGTGGTGGAGGGTTCTTGGGTATGGTGGGTGGCCTTGCTCAGGAGTTTCTGAAGCAAAAACTTGAACAGGACGATGGGTATGCAAAACCTGCTCTTGAGACTGAGGTGGGGAGCAAGCAGGAGGTCTATGCTGGGCCTGCGAAGCGGTCACTGCCAGGGGGTGGGATCCTCATAAGTGGCTGCCAGAGTGACCAAACTTCTGCGGATGCAACTCCTGCAGGGAGATCGGATCAAGCTTATGGAGCCCTTAGCAACGCGATCCAGGCTATCCTAGCTGAAGCAGATAACCACCAAGTTACTAATGAAGATGTTGTTTTAAAGGCTAGGAATTTGCTGAAGAAACAGGGTTTTACCCAGCAACCCGGACTATACTGCAGTGATGATCTCATCCGTGCTCCATTCATCTGCTGATTTACTTCCATCACAAGGCTCCTTTCCTAGTATTTTTATTTATGTGGGAAGTCTAGTCATACGGTGATACTATGTTATTATGCATGATGTATCCTTGGTGTGTGTGGTATACTGGTGTTTGCTTATCTGGTTTCAATCTGGTCTGGCCTTCTGGGTCCATGTGACTAGTCGAGGAGCTCAAAAATCCCAAGGACAATTTCTCCCATTGGACTTTCTTTATATTTGTTTATTAAGCTCAGTGAGTTTATGTTGTCGAATAATGAGCTGGTGGATTTTTGAATATCTTGTTTTTAGTGGATCTGAGTTGGGAGATTGCAGAAGGGAGTCTACCCGGTAAAAACCATTAACCAACAGACCATATCATATTGACCCAAAATCGAACCATTCATTGTTATTTTTAGGGCAATGTCTATTTTTTACCCAAACCTTTTTCAAATTCTTTTATTTTAACCAAACTTATAGAAATTCTATTTATTATCCAAACGTATTATAATTTATCAAAGTCTGGGCATTCATTCTGTTACCGTTACTTATTTCGTCCACGTGAGAGGTGAGATTTTGTTTTATTTTTTTATAATCTTTTTATTAAAAATAGTAAATGATGGTATTCTGACCGCCACATAGGAAGTCAACTCATTATGGTCATACTTAGTCAGCATTACTAACAGAAAAGTTGACGGAGAGTTAACGTTTGGATAATTTTTAGGAATTCAATAGGTTTGGTTAAAATAAAAGAATCTGAAAAAGGTTTGGGTAAAAAATAGACATTGCCCTTATTTTTATTGAAAGTGGTAAGTGGTAACAAGTAATTGAAACTAACTAGAAATTCACAAACCATTATATTACCGAAAACGAGGACCTTTGTTCGTGTTTGTTGAGGGGTTATTTGTTGGGTCTTGTTCACTCAATATTTTGCTACCAAAACCAGTATAGATAACTAGCTTTATTCCCGGCATTGGCCGGGTAACTTTTAATATTAATAATAATAACAAACATATTTTTTTTCAATTCATAATATATTAAGTTGACACAATTGATTTGTAATTACAAATTTGTGTAGCTAGCATAGAATTCAGCCTAAATTCATCTCATATTTACTCAATATCAACAACCGATTAAGAAGTATAAAACACATTCTAATATTATTAATCTTATTGTGAACTTGTGATAAATTCACAAACCATTATATTATCGAAAACGAAGGCCTTTGTTCATGTTTGTTGAGGGGTTATTTGTTGGGTCTTGTTCACTTAATATTTTGCTACCAAAACCAGTATAGATAATTGTTGCTAAATTCGATTTTCGATGAATTAGAAAAATAGAAATCGATTTAGCATCCATATACAAACTCCCTGCATGTTCATTCTTCAGCCTAAAAACACTCGCACTTCAAATTTGGTGTAATTGATTTCTTGCCACACAAGGTGATGGATTTTTTATAATGAATGGAGCATGACCATAACTCGAAGGACTCTACAGTTCTACTCCCTCACCTGCACATAAGACGGAAAAAATCCAAAAGTACCACTGTTTAAAAAAAAAATTCCAAAAATACCACTCAATTCCAAAAAATTCCAAAAATACCACCCTTTTTCAAAAACCGCCACCCCACCCAGCGGTTTGGTCGAAAACCGCTTGTCGGGGGCGCGGTTTTGGACCAAACCGCGGGCCTAGGGGGCGGTTATAAAAAAAAAAAATTTGGACCAAAACCGCTGGGTGGGGTGGCGGTTTGGCCCAAAACCGCCACCCCAACCAGCGGTTTGGTCCAAAAATTCGGTCGAAACTTCAAACGAACGTAACTTTGCACTCGGGTATCCGATCGTAGTGATTCTTTTTTTCATTTCGCATAACTTTTCAGGATCTACAACTTTTACTAGGATGAAATTTTCAAAACAGGAACTATTTGTGGATATACGGGACCTTGAGAATAACTTTACCTTTACTTTTCAGAAATCCATGTGCATTTTGAAATTATGATTATATTAAAAGTTGTAGATCTTGAAAAGTTATGCGGAATAAAAAACAAATTCATGACATTCGGATTTTGGAGCACAAAGTTATGGCCGCCCAAAGTTTGACGAAATAAAAAAAATGCCGTTTGGGGTGGCAAATGACGTTTTTTCGAGACGAAGACGGAACCCGACTGTTTGAGACTTGCAATATCTCAAAAAGTGATTCGGATTCAAAAAATGGAGGCCGCAAACTTTTTGAGATCTTGCAAGCCGCAAACCGCCGGGTCTCGCCTTTCGTCAAACTTTGGGCGGTCATAACTTTGTGCTCCAAACTCCGAATGTTATGAACTTTTTTTTGATTCCGTATAACTTTTCAAGATCTACAACTTTTAATATAATCATAATTTCAAAATGTACATGGATTTCTGAAAAGTAAAGGTAAAGTTATTCTCAAGGTCCCGTATATCCACAAATAGTTCCTTTTTTGAAAATTTCATCCTAGTAAAAGTTGTAGATCTTGAAAAGTTATGCGAAATGAAAAAAAAATCGCTACGATCGGATACCCGAGTGCAAAGTTACGTTCGTTTGAAGTTTCGACCGAACTTTTGGACCAAACCGCTGGTTGGGGTGGCGGTTTTGGGCCAAACCGCCACCCCACCCAGCGGTTTTGGTCCAATTTTTTTTTTTTTTTATAACCGCCCCCTAGGCCCGCGGTTTGGTCCAAAACCGCGCCCCCGACAAGCGGTTTTCGACCAAACCGCTGGGTGGGGTGGCGGTTTTTGAAAAAGGGTGGTATTTTTGGAATTTTTTTGGGTTGGGTGGTATTTTTGGAAATTTTTTTCTAAACAGTGGTACTTTTGGATTTTTTCCACATAAGACTTCGTTTTTGTCCAGAAAGGTGGGCAACCTTCCTTTTCCAAAATCATCAAGCTCTAATCCGACGGAATGGGTTAGGGTGATTACTTGTTTTCTAGTAATCACGGTGGCAACCTCTTTATATACTATTTGATTAATTATCTTCCCTTCTTTTTTAATCTTACGGTCAAGATTCTTTTAGGGTAATTTTGGAAATTAAAAAGTGACCACACCTGATTATTCTATATAATCTACCTAAACCCTAGTTCTATCCTCCCTCCAGCCAAACCCGTCGCAGCCGCCTCCACGTACCACTCCCGTCGCACCGCCGACAGCAGCCCCGACCACCCTTGGCCACAGCCAGCAGCACCCCGACCACCCACGGTACCCTCTCTCTCTCTCTCTCTCTCTCTCTCTCTCTCTCTCTCTCTCTCTCTCTCTCTCTCTCTCTCTCTCTCTCTCTCTCTCTCTCTCTCTCTCTCTCTCTCTCTCTCTCTCTCTCTCTCTCTCTCTCTCTCTCTCTCTCTCTCTCTCTCTCTCTCTCTCTCTCTCTCTCTTCATTGCTGGAGAAGCTTGCTTCCGGCGACATCAACGACCAACCTATACCTCACATCATTCTTCTCCAGCGGCTCCAAGGCTATGTTCACGTAGTCCATATTTACAACCTCAATCATGGAGCTCAACCCTTTCTCATTGCAAAAATCCAATATCTCCTCTGTTTCCTTCATGCTCTCTCTCACTGCTCTCTTAAAAACCTAGATCTAGTAATTTTTGTTTATTGATTTAATGTGCAGTGGTATAGATTGTTTATATTGGTAGTTTTCGTGTAATGGTATAGATTTATTTCTGCAATGGTATTGATTGTTTATGGTATAGATTGTTTATATTGGTAGTTTTCGTGTAATGGTATAGATTTATTTCTACAATGGTATTGATTGTTTATGAAATAGATTGTTTATATTGGTAGTTTTCGTGTAATGGTATAGATTTATTTATGCAATGGTAGTTTTCGTGTAATGGTATAGATTTATTTCTACAATGGTATTTATGTTTTTCAAAGTGGTAGTGTTTGCCTAATGGATTGGTACTGATTTTGTTTGTTTTTTTTTTTTTTTTTTTGCAGAAAGATTGAGAAAAATATGGAAAGGAAATCTGGCCGGAGATTACGGAAGTGAGAGAAAGAGAATTTTAATTAATAGATTTTTGTAACTACCTAAAATATAATTTATTAAAAAATTAATTAATATAATTTATTTTTCCATACCCAATTTACCCTTAGTAACCACGGTAATTACCACTTTTGTAGTAATCCGACCTATGGTGAGTGCTAACAGATGTATGAAATTTTTGGATCACTAATGGACCTCTTACTCCCACCTAAGATCCTCTTCTTCATTTGGAAAGGCTTAATCCACACCCCAGGCGCTAGTAGTAGCCTTTGGATATGTCAGATTCCCTCTCCCTTCCGGAAGTTCAACATCCCTCATCCCACGCTAGTTTTGCCTTTGTCTGGCAACCGCATCCAGCACATACGGTCAAATTTCATATTGCTTAGCACATCTGAAAGACTGAAACGTAGACCTCCCAAACCCAACCTCTTGTTATCCAGAACCAACCTCATCAATGTTGACTTAGTCCACAACGACTCAATTGGCAGGCTGGTTAGGTTGTCAAACCTCAAGCTCGGCGTGTCTTCTATCCATAGTGCATCCGAATACTGGACCTCCTGTCGGTATTTAATCAACAAAGCGGCATCTGGAATTCTCATTTCATTTTTGTAGGCTGGGTAGTCAGCCAACAATAACAATAAATAAAAAATTACAGTTGTTACAGAGACTGACAACCCAAGCAGTAGTGAGCAAGCGACCGTGGCTTCTTCTGTCCTCATTTCAGCAGAAGAATTGCAAAAAATTATATGGTTTCAGCTACCACCAACCCCTCTGAGCCCAAAACACGCCAAAAAAAAATGAGAGCGTGGTAGCACATTAACTAATCAGAATGAAGATTCCAGCAACAAGTCCATGTTTCTACTACTTCCCCGTACCTTTACAGTTCTCCAGTTTACTTCTCTGTACCTTCATAGTTCTCCAGTTTTTCTCCCAAACTCTCGTGTCAGAGCAGCTTTGAAGGGGGCAAGTCTTAGTTATCTTAATGAAACCCCTTTCAATCATCAATATCCTTGCCCCACGACAGATCTGCAAATTATGAGCAGAAGGGGGTAAAAAGTCTGATAAGACAAGATGTTTACACAAAGAACATACAAAAGAGAGACCGACAGATCGTCCAACCTTCAAGCACAGATTCAACAGCCCCACTTGGGACAAGAATTCCAACAATCCTCTGACTATCTGCAGTGGTTTCTAATCGCACAACACGGAGCCGCTTATGACTTTGACGAGCCTGTTGTCAAGGTTACTCCAGCTTTTAATCAATTAACCATTTTATAAACTAACATTTTGTTTCAAGTAAAGAGTTCATATGATTATTGGTTGACAGTCGAGCCATTCATGTACAAGAATGAACAAGATTAAAACGTTTTACAAATGTCCTACTGTGGCTAGAACTTCACCTGTCGAGAAAGGGCCTTCTCTATGGTACCCCAAACTGGAAGAATGATGCCACCCAGAACATAAACTTCTTGCACTCTTTTACCCACGGTACAATAGATGCCAACCTTACAGTTGGGGCCATGCATGCACTGCAGGAGAAGTTAATCCTTTTATCAGGTTAACACATAGTGATTAATAAATACCTAGGAAGACTGAAAGGCGGTATTAGCTCTAGAAACCACTACTGTCTTAACCTGTCTGGATGAAACTTCATATTCATCTTCCCAACCGCTGCGTGCTTTTTCTAGAGAAGACAGTTTTCTGTACTTGCTTCTCAACTCGGACAGGGACATCTCCCTGCAGAAGGGATAAATGGAGTCGAGAAGGGGAAAAGGGGAGTGGGGAGTGTGTGAGCAAGAAAAATAAAGTCACAATAATTAAGTTGGATAATATTTAATTTCTTGCCTTACTGATTCCCCAACTGGTGGCCTGATTATCTTAAACATTCCAGAAGCGGCACTGAAACAGCAGAATCAAACCACGGATCACCCTCAACAAAAAATGAACAGGCAATCAGGAGCAGAAGAATTTGATGCAGCATAGTGTAAGTGCAGCTACGGAGAAGGGGTTGCCAAGTTGAACTAATTGTCAAAGGTACAAAATAAATGCATGTACTGTGATTACAAAGCAAAAACTCGCCTTTCAAGGGAAAACAGTTGAACTGTCTAAATTACGAATTGGTAGCTACTGAGCGGAGTTCAACCTCAGCACAATTCTAATATAAATTTTGACTTCATTTTGTGAGTGAAACATCCCTCAAGACATGCCCGAATCCAGATTAAGATTCCAAAAGTCAAATCGAAAAGGTACTTCCCTTATAGAAACTTCTATTTGACCACTCCTCTCTTCAATGGAAGAATTTGAAAGATGCAACATCAGCTGGAAAACAATGAACGAGTGAGATGACAGAGAACAGAAAATACCTTTCGAAAACTAAAATGAAGTGCCGTTTCCCTAACCACTCTCTCTTAGATTCATAGAACCCATCATTGGAGCAAACAAGGCCATCCTTTTGCTTCTCCCCTAGCATGGCATTTGCAGCCTAAGAGTGGAGCAAAAAATCACATGTTTTATGTTTGCTGCTCAGGAAGCTCAACCACATTCAAAACCGTATTGACAAGCGCTGCTAGTTGCTTAAAGCAAGAATAATACAGAAGTTAGGTACCTCCCATGTGACTCCACGGTCAACAGAAAAGGTAAAGAGCACTGTTGAGGCACCAGACATTTGATCCACATGCACCTTCTACAATATGAGAGAAGATAATTAGCTGAAATCATGCAGCAAACAATTAACAAACTAGAGAGTTACCTTTGGCGTCCCTTGTAGTTCAATGAAGTTTGCTTTCATATCAATGATCCCTGAATCAAGATTTCCCTCAATACGAGCATTGTGAATCAAAAGATCTAAGATGCTGACAAATAACTCAAACAGCCTGTAGATTATTGACAAGCAAATTAGGCCAAGGAGTACAGTTTACTATAAGAGGTACATTATCTTTCAGAAAACACCAGACCTGTTCTGAATCTCAGGAGGCAGGCCCAGTAATCGATTCAGAAAACGACCAACATCGTGCATATCAGAATCAATAATGCGCCCAGATAATTTTCCACGGTCCATACCGTTACCTATGCCAAAAATGTAAACCTGGGATGTTAAAATAACATTTAAAAAACAATGTTTCAGAAGGCTACAAAGCAAGAACCAGATAATAGACTAATCTAGGGACCGTATGAGCCTAAGGTAAATATCAGATTGTTCAATCCAAGAACGCAAGATATTTGATTTGGAAAGCGGAATACCAAGAACAGTGTCTCTGACTATTCCAACTGAGACGAGGGCAGCTTTTGCCTTCATTATGAACTCTTGACTTGTATCTGGCTTGTCAGATGAACATCCAGGAGGGACCACAGGTAGCAATTCCTGAAAATCAGGAGACTCGTAAGTTCACAATATGGACGAATTGCAGATATAGATACTTAAAAATCACAATCACAAGAAGTGTAGAACCTGTTCCATGATTCCCCTATACATGACCATCAAAGCCTTTTTCCCATATACACTATCATAATTGTAAGCACTCAAAGATGGTCCTGCTCTGCATCGGCGAAATTATAATGAAAAACTCAGTTAACAGCAGACAAGCTGAACATCAGAGAAGAATAAAAGCAACAAACGAACAAGGGGCCAACATCACTTATCGAAACAATGTATGAAAAGGAAAGTAGAACTTGCTATCTCATCCCTAACAAGTCAAAGTGGTGACCAATATTCGAGTTAGTACCTGCGGTCCCCTTGTGTCAAGGCTCCTAGAGATTCTAATCTCTTAGCAACAATAGAAGCAAACCGCCGTTCTCCACCAAGATCAGTAAATAATAACCTGCAAGAAACCATAAGAGAATATTTGTGGGTGTGAAATTTTTGGAAACTGTAGCATCAGCAATGTGAAGATTATTTTCAAACCTAAGCCATGAAAATGCCTCTGAGCGATGGCCATTATCATAAAGTCCACTGCTACAGTGAAAAAATCCTCAACTCATAAGATATCGTGGGCTAAAAGTTCTTCTATCCACCACCAGATACTAATTGACCTATTTGCGTCCCTTCTCCTTAGTGGCATGTTCAGTCCATTTCATAAGCCTTTACAGACAGGAAATGCGTGCTTTGAGATTGATGCATTGCATGAGACAGGTATACTAAGTTACAAAAGTAATAGTCAACCAGTTAAGGCGTCTGTAGTCCTTCGCTCTAAGCCTCTAACAGGCAGATAGCATTATTGTCTTCTAAGCACTTCTCACTCTTGCCAGAATTAGATGCTTTATTTGCATGAGATCTAAGGCATAACTTTTCTTCACAAAGAACCAGTATACTGTAAATCATTTTTCCAAGCCTGAACTGGTTTATCAGAAATAACCACCCACCAACCTTATCCCACAGAACTCAGGTCAAGCCATTTATCATTCTAATATTCAGTACAATGTCTTGCACCAACATCAATAATTTGTGAAAAGGCAAAGGCACCAGAATGAAGTTAGCATTGTAAAACACCGAGTAAACTAGTAGGACCAATTTAAAGAAGACATGCTCCAAAAAAAAAAAAAAAAAAAAAAAAAAGACTAACAGCACAACACCCCAGAGATATCCCTTTCAACATAAGATATGAATTTAAAGGCTACATGACCGGTAGAAGATCATGCATACTGCTTTCTACCTATATTCAGGGGCAGAGGCTTGGTTTGAACGATGAGTCCTTCCAAATTGCTGTATTGCACGGTCAGCACTCCAAGGAAGTTCTAGTGTCAAATGAACCCTCCTCTTCTGTTGTAGATATTTTAAGGAGTAAGGAGACAGATTGAAACTTAAACGGCACAGAGAGCTGGGTGTAGAACTCGAAGCAGTTTGCTTCGACCTATGTTAGAGCTTAATGAAGCAGTACAAGAACAGTCCAGAGAATTCAAAAACCTGATTTATGGCTCGCCTATCTGCCTGCAAGGATACTCCAGCAGATCCCGCTTCGGAAATGATAGCAACCAATTTCTTGCCGTCCATAAATAGTTGCTTTTCATGCATGTTGACCATTTCCATAGTAACATCCTTTCTAAAGGAGTGTGAGAAAATATAAAATGGTAAGCATGCAACAAACAGACATTTGAAGTGCACAAGCAGCAAGACCAGACCAACTCACGTGCTCCTTGACTGATAAGTTACACCTTTTCCGCTCGATGCTCTGACAAGCATGCCTCTCCTGCCCGTCATCTCTGCAACTCTGTCAGGGCCTCCAAGCTGTAACGATAACAAGTGCAACAAATACAAACAAATTGGTTTCACGATATACAGTGTCTGTAATATACATGACCAGGAATCACTGCACCACTTGCATCCAGCAAGTCAACAAAATGAAAATGTAGCCAAATTACTGGATAAATCACTTTGATACCCGCTTCTACTTCATTTATGGTAACTCTATTCATATTATACAACATTAATTCAGCAGTAAAATCCTTGATACTACTCATAGTAACATGCAGTCTCTCTTCATACTTACAAATCCCCAATATTTCATATAAGTAGACTGCACCCTGATATATTTCAAGACAAGAAACTACAAATGAAGTGTCATTACTTCATGATAACTAGGGCCCTTGTAGACACAGCGTATTATATTCAAAGAAATGCACAGAAGATCAAAAGACCTCTAAAAGTTGAAAAGATGCCTGCATACACATAAGAATAAAAGAACACCTTAAGTCCAAGCACTCTGACAGGGAAAACATTACAAGTTCATGCTACTTCCAACACCTAGATGAAGGTGCATCCAAGTGCTGGTGTCCCTAAGAGGATGACAAGGTCCACTGGTTGTAGGAAGCAGAAGCTAAGACATTATGAAAAAAGAGGCATTCCACACACCATTTCCATGAAATAGGTGGCATCACCATTCTAGATTAATAAAGCTTTAACACTACTCTGGCAAAGGAGGTCGTATATGTAACTTAAACCTGATATTCTGAGGTTTCCAAGGAGTAATTTCTCATATTGGGTACCCCTATGTAGAATTTATGCATAGGGATTAGAAAAAAAGGGGAACTTCTCTATGACACTTTAAAAGATAAATATGTTTGTTTCATCTATTTTTTTAGGTCCTAATGGAAAAGTAGCTAAACAAAATTCTGTCAATTTTTTATTACTAAACAAACCACATCTCATCCCGTTACCACCAAAAAAAATATTATCCTATCAATTTTATTTTTTATAAAACCATATCAAATGTCTTTTCCATCTCGATCTACTAAAAATTCATTTTTTATTCCTAAATTTAATGGGGAAAAAAACAAAAAACACTTGACATTAGTTATGCATATATTGCAGAAGACCCTGTGACTGCATTGCATAAGAAAGATTAAACAAACCAAAATAAGTGTCTGTCTAAACAACATGTCAACTTCATTGACACTTTCACTGTGCTAACATCATGAATTGCCAAACCCCTCAAAACACAAAGTGAACACACAAAGATATAGATAAATCAGGAATACAGCCAGAACCTGGTCAATTATGTCGTCCAATGGATTATTGGGAAGATCCAACAAGCGAATTATCTCCAGAATTTTTGACTTGCGGTCCAGAGCAACATCATATCTAGTATCAAATTCATTAACATTTCCTGTTAGTACTTGACATAGTACCAAATTCATGATCTCCAAATATGGTACAACCAAAGTAACTACAATACAGACACTAAAATGCGTCAAGAACAAAATTACTGGGTCAATTTTAAATACCTCTTCAATAGTTCAGCTAAGTATGCACGTCTTGCTATAAGATACTCTTCCGTTTTTTCCTTGCATGATTGGCACGACCAATCTTCAGATGGAAAATCTGTAATGTGCGGGACTAAACATGAAGGATGGAAAAGTTGGCCACAACAAGAACATCTGAGGAGTCTTTTACTTTCCTGCATCCACAATTTTCACAAACTAGTGCATTAATATAAAAAATCAAAATAAGCACAGGAAGCTCAGACAGGAGTGTGTGGAAATACCTCTTCCGTATTGCATATCTCACAAATCTGAAACTCATCATCGGATTCAGTGGATTCACCCACAGAGTCAGCTGCATTAACCAGAGGCAAATGGAAGATATAAACGCCGGTTGGCAAAAATGTTTTGACTTTCCATAACTTTGATTTAAATTGTCTTTGTACAACACAGAAATGGGGCAAGCAGTGACATTTACATCCAGAACTCACTTTCAGATTCTTCACCACTTTCATGATCATTTGTAGGTTTCCACCTAGCAACTTTTCTAACTCTGCCTTTCAAGGAAACATCAGATGCTGTTGAATGTCTCTTCCGTTGAAGTTCCACTGGGTCAACTTCTCCTACACAAAGTATGATATTCACCTACAGCATCAATATGGGAATGACAGAAGCACTTCGTGGAAATCACGACATACCATCAAGGGGCTCAGGTTTTTCGGGCAACGGATAATATTCTTCAACAAATTTCAGCAACAACTCTCGTGGACCAGAGATAAAATCATCAAGCTCAAACCCCTAACCAAGATAGAAGGAGAGACAAGGAAAAAAATAGTTATAGAAAATGAACGATGGAGCCTTAAAGCACCGAAAGTCCACTTTGGAAACTGCACACAAAATTTCATATAACCAAGAGATACACACATATTTGGTGACAGCTTCCTCTGTCCGTGCCTCCCCTGTACTTTGCAGACCAATGACTACACATTTATCTTCCTTCAGTGCATGCTTAGAAAGTCTTACAGTAGCAGGTACCTTGGCTGACATGCACATGTGTCTAAAAAACCGCTGACAAAGGAAGTACGAATCAATTATATTGAATTGTAGACAGAAGAAAATATTGATGGTGTAACTAGTATTGAAAATATCAAAGAGGGAAAACTTGTGGTTAGCAAGAAGAATGATAGCAACCTGGTGGCTTGACCAATACAATCTCCATAACTGACTAGAATTAGGCTTGTCGTTCACAAGGAAAGCACTTGCTGATAACAGCTCCACTCGCAGCTCTGCCCAAAATTCAGCTGCTTTTTTGTACATTTCCTACAAGGTTGAGCAAATATTAATGAAAATTTTAGCAGACTCATACAATCACATATACAGGCTAGGAGTCGGGACATGCCGGACAAAATAGGAAAACTGAACCAACAATGCTAAGTGGCAGCTATATAGTTGGGGGTGGAGTCACAGGCACAAAATTTACAGAAACAGCCTCTTCAGACAGGCTGAGTGTCTAGAAAGGGAAACTAAAATGACAAAAAGGCCTATGCTAGGAAGGATAAATAAATTATGGAAAATGGCTGAAAAGTTCAAAGACTCGTCAAGAATTCATAACTCATTGAGATAGCGACTGTTTCAAGCATTATATTTGAGTTATTCATATATGCAAGCAAAAAAAAAAATACCCTTACCATCATATCAGGTTCCAAAGCTACTTCAACAACTTCAAATTCTGCACCTTTGTAACTAAGAGTACGACAAACATACATTCCCCTGCCAAATTTAAAATGAATCTACCAATAAACATAATTGGCGTGAAACTAGTTCAAAAATGAATCTACCAAGAAACGTAATTGAAGTGAATCTATTTCAGAAATGAATCCACAGATGTACCTTGCTTTCATGTCCATGGCAACAAGTTCCAATGCTCCAACACCTCCTTTTTCAATAGCACCTACACTTTCTTATGTTGCTTACTTAACGATTTTGGTAACTAATTTTGTAGGAGAGAATTGCAATTGAGTTATGGATGCATAACATCCATGGAAATCAAAATTAAGCAGAAGTGTGGGACCTAGGAACTTATGGAAGTCAGAGAAACATGTTCCAGATCCCCAGAGTCCAAGCCTAACCATGTAACCCAAGTTGCGAGGCTCAGATGCTCCAGTGGCTGAGCAATAAACAACACGTGCTTCAGGTAGTCTGGCCTGTTACATGAACACGATTTGATAATTAAGAGTCCATAAAAAAGGAAACAACTAAACTATCCATGCATCTCTTTGATAAAGAAAGAGGCACAAGGCATTAACTGCTGTCTAGATATGAAAACTGGTAACACAGATGATTTCATGAATGTTACCCAGCATGCAAAATCCAAAGATCCATAGATGTGGTCATAGAAAAACAAAATAACAGATGATATATTAACATGCAGGCATGATGACTAATAGGAAAGGAAGTCCCAAATTTTGGAACAAATCGACAACTTCACTGACATAGAAGCTTAAACCTGAAGGATATGCTTTTACCAAGAACACCAAAAAAATGTGAAGAAATGTGATAAGAGGCTGAAGAATTTTCTTACATCTTAGTTAACATAATACAAGCTTAAGCTATAATAATTTAATCTGTTACGCTCGCTCTCATGAACCTTCATTCATAACCCTCTGTGTATGATACATCTAAGGAACGAAGACACCCACCGTCTCTGCCTCTGAGGCCCCCGACCAAAGGGAATTGAATAAAGAATATCTAGTTGCAATTCATTACTCCCTAATACATGGATAAAGACAAACAGACGAGAAACTATTGATAGGGTAGCACATGTATAGCACATCAGGTAGAAACGTAATGTACGGGACAAAGGCCTAACCTTTAATAAGGTAGAAGCACTTGTCAGGCAAAAAGTTCAGTACATACGGTATTAAACACCGCAACCATAGAAGGTAAAAAAGAACAACGAAAATTCCCCTGTTAGTCTAGTCTCTTAAGAAGTTAGAAGATACCACATAAAAGTTTTGTTTCCCTTCCTGGACCATCAGCTATCATGCCAAATAATAACTCAGCAGTAGAAACCACTAACAACCATGAGATAGAAGCAAATGCAAATTCCCTCTCTGCAACATCAGCTACCATGCCAAAAAACTCATTGAGCAGTAGAAACCATCAAACGACCATGAGATTGAAGCAAATGCAAGCATGCAACAATACATGAGATTGCTAATTTAACTTCTATTTGCAACACAACATGACTAGACAGAAGAAAAGCATTGGAAACATATTAGTTCAAACAGTCTTGAATTCCTAAATAAAGCTGTCAGAAAAAAACACCCTAGAATGCAGCTTCTATATCACGAGACAGAACCCCTGCCTCCTAAGAAAAAATTTCAACAATCTTGTCTAAAAGAGAGGATGTGTCAAGGTACCACAAAAGTAACTGCTGTGCTAATACAGTTACCAGAAAACAGATGTTGGTATCACTTCATAAACACTAGCTGGATCAGTTTTGAGTTTCTAGCACTTCAGTTTTATTGAGAATTGAGGGGCAACCTGAATGTCGAGAACTGCTTCACCAGTTCGTGTTGGCTGGCTCCCAGCTTCAGGTACCAAATTTTTGGCTTTGTGGCACTACAAGAAAAGTAGCCAGTATATTAAAATCTGGAGCCTTTTCTCTACAAATAGGAAGAAATAGACCACAAGGAACAGCTCACAGACACGAACTTGAAATTTTAGTAGAGTCTAGCACCTCATCAAATACAAGAAGACCATCAAATTCAGATCCAAACCACTGCACAAGCTGCTGTAGTCGAGAACGACCTTTCTCGGATGATGCAATGAGACTACTGTATGTCAGAAAGACAACTCCATCCTTCACCCCAACACTCTTTGAATCAAGCTTGGCATATGGCAACTTGTTCAGAGCGTGCACTGTGAACATCAAATAATGTATGAGTTGGCCACCATAAAACAGTAAATGCAAACGCAAATTTATGTGAAGCTTGAAACTCAGTTCATGGTGACCAAACCAAACAGATTTAGTTGCCGTTTACTTTCTACTGTAAACATTGCTATTCCTGCTACAGTGTTATGCATGTGCGCCAGTGTGCTAAACTTTCTATATGCGCGCACGTCTCCGACCGAAATTTTACCGAGAAATTAGGAAAACATTGTCAATAACAAAGCATTTGAAGGCACAAGTCTAGGACAATTAAATATTAAGATGACTCAACTCAGGCATAACATAAGCCTTCTATCTATCGTATTAGGATGGCTGTATACCTTTCAGTAAATATATGCAATGCTAATAGCTGGTTTTAACATAAAAAGAAAGTAAAAAAATCTGGAAAAGGAAGGCTAAGAGCCTAAGAGACAAATATTCTATGTAAGCTTCAGGCAACTTCCCAATCTCCAATCCTCAAAACCCAAAATAGTTACAACTGTGACCACGGAATTACAAGTTTGCTTGTGAGTTTCCATCCTATTGTCGCTAAGATATAGCTAAAATCAGTAGACTACACAATTCCACTGGTTTAGGGTTTGGATCGGTTTTGGTCTAGCTAATGGGCCCTAACTTCAATCACTCTCCTATGACGATGCGTTCTTTTGCAAACAATTGACCTCATATTTCACTAGCTTACCGTCATTGTATTTATTTAGATTTTAACGTGATTTGTATTTGTAGATTTATGGTTAAATTTCTACATAATATATAAGCCTTACGGAGATCCCTACTGAAGTTTGGTTATGTCAACACCTCATTGTCTTAATACAGGAACTTATTGCGGATCAGAATATATATATATATATATATAACTAGCTAGGACCCTGCCACTTTGGGAAATATTTTGTCAAGTAACTTATCAAGATTTCCGCTAACATCCAAATTATCTATTTGTTATTGAAATGTTACAACATTTTTTATTTTAAAAATAAAAATATATATATCCCAAAAATTTATTCCGTAGAAGTCAGAGATGAAAACCGCACCTTCTTCTATCACAATTGCAACAATTAATATGCATTTGAAATCTATAATATTTAAAGGTAAAAAATATCTATAATATTTGGTCATTATAAACATCCATGATGCTTGGGGTTAGATGTTCTATTATTAATATATCTAAATTTCTTATGATAAAAATATATTGCTTGTTAAAAATGGATTTTGTATTATAATAACTAGCTTTTTACTCGTCCGTTGGTCGGGTGAGTTTTTTTTCATTTATAATAATAAGTTTATTTAAATTTTTATATCTATTTGTAGATTCTAAAATTAGATACTAAAATTGTTTACGCATTATAAGTTTTTTTTTTTTTACAAAATATGTATGATCTTTTTTGTCTAATATGTATGATCTTTTTTGTCTAATTGTTGTAGGTTTACAAAATATGAGTAGATTCTCTAATATAAACTTATATATATGTATCTTAACAATATGCATTGAAACTATGACACCGGTAAAGTTTTTTTGTAATTTTCTAGGTTTAGACTTTAGACTAACTTTCTAATTATATAGTGACACCGATGAATTTAAAATGGATCAGTTTATTTAAACTTGTATAGGACTTGTGTATTCACCAAACATAAAAAGTATAGCATGGTCGTTCTAGCTATGAATAACTAAATATGCATAATTATATCTAGACATGGCGTGAAGGGGCTTTATTTTCGAAACCCTTTAATATATTTTAAGATATAAATTACTGGTTAGAAGATTTGAGAATTATGACAATCGGTTATTATATTTCTTTTTATTAGATAATTACCACTTATGTGATTTTATTGTGGGACATTATACATAATTAGGTATAATCCAAAATATGTGTTTTTTATTTTCTTTATTGTAACTTCTTTTTGAAGTATTTTGAGTGTCAATTATCAAATGTACACAAAAATCTTACTCATTCGAGTTTATGATTCCAAGATTCCCAAAAAAAAATCTTTTGTATAATCTCAATCCTGACTACATTGCTCCCACTGCTATTTGCGAAATTTCATTAACAGTTTATAATCAGAAGAGTAGGAAAATTGAATGCTTCAGAGTAATTCAAGCGGTTCAATGAATCCAACTCAGTTGCTACATTCAGTTCAAGCTTAAGTTTGCATAATATACACTAAATGTACCCAACAGTAACAACAGAGTCATGACATTATCTGGCCATCAAACTATCTATCAGAAGATTGGGAATACACAATGTTTTAGAAAGCAAGTCAAGCGTAACTTACTTTCACAAACTACCCTGAAAAAGCAACTCTCCTTCACAAACCACATTTTACAAGGTCACTTACCTTCGATAAATGGAGCACCCATGTCATCTAAATCCCTTCTTGCATCAAACTTTAGGTCAGAACCAACAGAAATCCATCTACATAAGACCATTTAAAAGGAAGGCAAAGGCAGAATATAGATTTGACTTCAGTAGTTTCCAGCTTACAGAAAATTTAAGTAACATGGAAACCTAACTGCACAAAATAATAATGAAGAAAATAGTTGAAGAAATCTGCAAAAGGAATAAATGCAACCACAACTTACATTGCTTTCTTCCGTCCATGGTGCCAGTTTTCCAATATTAACCCAGCAATTGTACGACCTTTACCCACTCCAGCACCATCTCCAACAAAAAATCCAGCCCTGGCCCCACATGGAAGATGCTGCTGGTGTCTCTATTAAGTAAATATTCAGAGCGCCTATGAGTAAAGTCACTTGGAATATAAATTAAAAAATTCAGCTCCAGAGACAACCTGACAAGCATAAACCAACGTCTCAATCTGCAAGCATGACAATGCCTTTGAATGTTCCAAATCATCCGTAATTTTTAGATCATATGCCGATTCAGGTGGTTGTACTGCGGACAAAGAAGATGTTTCAACAATAGGATCAGGATGTGGGGGCCCAACGGATAGTTTCGGTGGTCTCTGCAATAAAAATCCAAATAATTACAATAAGAAGGCATCAAAGGACAAAAAGAGATCCATCTCAGGAAACATTAAGAGATTATGAGAAATTAGGAATCATATAAAACTTGACCATGATACTCACGTAATCTGTAAATGTTTCTCCCGCCGTTCCACCTTCATCTTCTTCTTGCTCTACCTCAATTGCTAACTGATATGTTTCAGAACAAGTGAAAAAATTAAAGAAACTTACAAGCTTAACCTGAAATAAGCGAAAAAGGAACAGTAAACAACAAAGGATTTAATACAATCATTTTCTTGTAAGAATAATATGCCATGGTTGCAGGTGTCATGTACAACTAACCCATAGTTGGACACATCATCAAATTTGACATTCAACTCTGTAATAACAAAAGACCTGCTAGTGTTAAAAGAAAAGGACCTGAAAACCATTCCATCAACAAAACAAGATGCCTTCGGAATTACAAGAGACTTTATTTAGCAAAATGTCACAAGTATGGAGGATAATCTGCAAACTCTAGTCCTTGGTATAATTGCAAAACAAACTGTTGATTCATTAACATTTGTTAGGGACTAACATAAGCATTCAGTATTACCTAAAGGTTTTGTGAATCATGGAGGGAAATTAGTAATCCATTTAGATGAGCAAACATTACAAGATCTCGTGCTGGAAAAATTGAAATCCAGCTTATCAGGAAGGTTATGGGATAGACCAAAGTCTTTCTTCCAGGATTCTTGCTGAAAGGAGCAATATTCTGTACTTAATTCACTATTTATTCGTTGTTTCGCCAGGGTTGGAGGAAACAAATGTTTGGATAAAGGAAAGGATCATATTTGCTATAGAAAGTGCATCTTGCCTTCCATAAAAATAAAATCAATCCTTGAAGATGCAGCCAGACCTACAGATGGACTTTGTATAAAGAGCACTGAACATATAATTTTCAAATTCACACTTCTTCAACAAGTCTGGAGTAGATAGAAATCAAGGTACCATTGCCATCCTTTTCAACTTTGTTTAAGAACCATCGGCTCATACTTATTCACAACCTTGAGAACTTACGTGAAAAGAATAGTCCATGATTGCTGACTGAAAGTCCAGAACTGGAAATATTCAAAGGACTTTTTGTAAGATTTCACATTTCTTGAAAATGAATTGCAACTTTCCTGTACTCTCACTAGTCACTAGCTAGAATATCTAACAGTTGTCTCAAACATCCAAACCAATAGAGCCCTCCATCTATCAACCGTGTACCAGGCTATAGTAAAGTTGCGCAGAACATGGATTTGGTTGCCTCTTCTTACAGGTCTATTTGATCAGAGCTGACATCAACTTTCATTATCATGCGGAAAAAGGAATTAGGTTTCACAAATCCATTTGCTATTTTGTATAAATGCACATTCAGATAAACCTTCTGACCAAGTTATACTTTCGCATGCCAAAGGAGAATCAATCTTTGCACTAGCAGGCGAGACTGGATGTGACAAAGAGAAACGTGACTGCTGTTAGAAATGTCATGGCTCATTAAGTGCGAAACCAACGAAACGGCAAGAAACTAGAGAAACTCTCTTCTTCTTTTTTTCTTTGGACAAGCTAACGCGAACGAGAAAAGTTTACGACGACGGCAAAGGTGAAAGCAGTATCCAGTAAGTAACGAGTCCCTCCATCACGGCACTTCTTCTCCCCAAAACCCCAGAAACAACACATAGCAAGAGGAAGACGAGGAGATGGAAAAGTAAGCAAGTAGAAGGGCAATAGAAGTTGAACCTCATTGACTTCTTCAGGAGGAGTAGCAGCAGCAGGAGGTAAAGGCGTGAGCGGCAGATGAGGCAGCGGAGAGGGAAGGGGGAGCCTGGGATGGCGCAGCAAGTGTTTGAGTTTGGAAACGTCGACGGCGAGATCAACGCCGCACTGAGGGCAGACAAAGCGAGCCAAACCATGCGGTACGTTGAGAAGGGCCTTACAATTAGCACAAGGGAGCTGGATCTTGGAAGGATCAATGCCATGGGCAGGGACTTGGGGAGGGGACGGCGTACTCCTCTGGTGAGCGTGTGCCCTAGCCAAGAGCTCCGGCGGAAGCATTTGAGGCATGTGGCAGCTTGGACAAACGAACTCTACGATTCCAGGAGCTACCGTCAAGATCATGCGGCAACCAGCGCAACGGACCTGGACACCGTCAGGATGAGATTGATTTGAAGGGAGTAGCGAAACGGTTGATGGAGAGGCCAGCGGCGGTGTCGCCGATGGCTGCGCCATTTGGGGTGGGGGTGTGGCCTGTGGGGGGCTTTGAAACAAGGGCCGATAATTGATGCCTTCGATTTGATTCCAAATCAATTAAATTCATAGATTTTCTTTATAGTTTCGCTTCTTCGCGAGTTTTTCTTTTTGTTTTTTTTATAATTAATACTCCTTTTATTCCAACCCAATCAGGGGAGCAAGAACATAACAATTACGATGTTACATAATAATAACAACCAGTTCACTAGTAAAGTGTTCATCCTAGCCTCACCACTGAACAAGAATCCAGGGTGCAGATTGGATGAAGGAAGAATGAGCACTTCTACTATGCTATATAGTATTGGTGCTTTAATGTACAACTTAAAGTTGTACCATAACATTAAATGTATAAGTTTAGGTTGTACCATTAAACAATTTGTATCATTATGTTATGGTACAACTTTACAACTTGAAGTTGTATCATCACATAAAGGTACAAGTTCAAGTTGTACCGTAAAAGAATTTGTAAAAAAATATAGGTACAATCTTAAGTTGTATCATAACGTAAATGTACAATTTTAAGTTATACCATAAAGGCAAAATCTTATAGCACCAATACTATATAGCATTGTAAAATTTCTCTAGGCGCAATAGTCGCAGAGCATTGCCAAGGTGGCAAGGTCAGAGGACAGGATCTTGTTGAAGTGCAAGTGAAACACTTTGGCAATCAGTACGAATATACGTGGTGATTAAGTATTGCGCAGCGATTAAGATTGTATTACGTATATTATAGGTTTTTACTTGAGTCAGGCAGGAATAAAGGAAAGTTCCAGTCTTGTTGTCATTAACCTTCACCATGAGTATTACCCTTCAGAATTCATCACTCGAGAAATTGAGAAAGACGATGGTGAAAGGATTGGAATGGGAACCCCTAGACTAAGAACGAGATTGTATTGCTAGTTGTAAAATAGTGTGATTGCGGAAAGTAAGAACACGCGCGATTTACGTGGTTTCCCCGTTCGTGAGAACGAGACTACTCCACAGAGAACGTGAGTTCTCGGTTTTCTCTTATTAAGTTTTGCAGGATAGAAAGCTGTAACTTACATTAGCCAAGCGGCTACAACTCCTACCTATATACCCTTTGCTAATCAACGTGGGTATTAGGTTAAACAACCAAAATACAATTTAGTCCTCAAATAATGTGGGACTAACCAAAGACATCTAAACACTGGTTGATTGTGAGGAGCCATCATTGTGATTCGAGCTTGTTGGGACGTTTTGGGACAAGGGTATACGTATGATAGCCCGAGACCGGGTGATCAGGATTGTGATAAAGTCATGAACAACGTTCACTTTTCGAAAAAAAATATTTCCACCCTCTACAAAGTCTTGGGTTACAGGAAATTTCTCAAACTATCACCAATTTAGGTTCTAGGCTCAAGAACTCTAAAGAACTCTAAAGCATACTTAGAGATTTTTTTAAGAAAGAAGAAGAATTTGTTTGATGGTGTGTGGCATCATCCACCCCACACATATATTTATAGGTGCCGAATCCCTAAAACAAGGGCCGATAATTGATGCCTTCGATTTGATTCCAAATCAATTAAATTCATAGATTTTCTTTATAGTTTCGCTTCTTCGCGAGTTTTTCTTTTTGTTTTTTTTATAATTAATACTCCTTTTATTCCAACCCAATCAGGGGAGCAAGAACATAACAATTACGATGTTACATAATAATAACAACCAGTTCACTAGTAAAGTGTTCATCCTAGCCTCACCACTGAACAAGAATCCAGGGTGCAGATTGGATGAAGGAAGAATGAGCACTTCTACTATGCTATATAGTATTGGTGCTTTAATGTACAACTTAAAGTTGTACCATAACATTAAATGTATAAGTTTAGGTTGTACCATTAAACAATTTGTATCATTATGTTATGGTACAACTTTACAACTTTAAGTTGTATCATCACATAAAGGTACAAGTTCAAGTTGTACCATAAAAGAATTTGTAAAAAAATATAGGTACAATCTTAAGTTGTATCATAACGTAAATGTACAATTTTAAGTTATACCATAAAGGCAAAATCTTATAGCACCAATACTATATAGCATTGTAAAATTTCTCTAGGCGCAATAGTCGCAGAGCATTGCCAAGGTGGCAAGGTCAGAGGACAGGATCTTGTTGAAGTGCAAGTGAAACACTTTGGCAATCAGTACGAATATACGTGGTGATTAAGTATTGCGCAGCGATTAAGATTGTATTACGTATATTATAGGTTTTTACTTGAGTCAGGCAGGAATAAAGGAAAGTTTCAGTCTTGTTGTCATTAACCTTCACCATGAGTATTACCCTTCAGAATTCATCACTCGAGAAATTGAGAAAGACGATGGTGAAAGGATTGGAATGGGAACACCTAGACTAAGAACGAGATTGTATTGCTAGTTGTAAAATAGTGTGATTGCGGAAAGTAAGAACACGCGCGATTTACGTGGTTTCCCCGTTCGTGAGAACGAGACTACTCCACAGAGAACGTGAGTTCTCGGTTTTCTCTTATTAGGTTTTGCAGGATAGAAAGCTGTAACTTACATTAGCCAAGCGGCTACAACTCCTACCTATATACCCTTTGCTAATCAACGTGGGTATTAGGTTAAACAACATAAATACAATTTAGTCCTCAAATAATGTGGGACTAACCAAAGACATCTAAACACTGGTTGATTGTGAGGAGCCATCATTGTGGTTCGAGCTTGTTGGGACGTTTTGGGACAAGGGTATACGTATGATAGCCCGAGACCGGGTGATCAGGATTGTGATAAAGTCATGAACAACGTTCACTTTTCGAAAAAAAATATTTCCACCCTCTACAAAGTCTTGGGTTACAGGAAATTTCTCAAACTATCACCAATTTAGGTTCTAGGCTCAAGAACTCTAAAGCATACTTAGAGATTTTTTTAAGAAAGAAGAAGAATTTGTTTGATGGTGTGTGGCATCATCCACCCCACACATATATTTATAGGTGCCGAATCCATGCATTTTTTTCATGAAATGTTGCCTTTATCCATACGAAAGGTTGCCTTTATCCATAAGAAAAGTTGCCCCTATCCATATGAAAGGTTGTCCTTATCCATATGAAGGGTTGCCTTTATCCATAAGGTTATCCTTATCCATAAAATAATGCAACCGCCATTAGGCCAAATGAATGTGTCCCTTTATGGAATTGGAATATTGGTTCAGTCGGTCTAACCCTGAACGGTTGGTTGGTCCAACCCAAAACCGGTTTGACTTGGATAGTTCGGTTCAACCAAATTCCCAACAGAGTTTCCTCATTCCATGAAGTCTCGACCCAATAGAGTCAAGGTAGAGTTGGGGTAATTGCCTTGTCTTCGAAGATAAACTCATTTCAAGCCATATAAACCTCTTAGCGAGTGTTGTTGGTTGACGGAGTAGAGAACTTACGCGCCAACGGTAAGTGAAGTGAATAATCGTTTTATTCTTTTACTAGCTTAGCCCAATGAATTTTATTTTATAACTTTTTAATTGTTTCTTAAGATGAAATTTTGTGCATTCATACGAAACTACGCAATTTCTTGTGAATAAGTGGCATTATGTGGAAAGTTTCTCGAGAAAATTTTCTTATAATTAATCAAAACTTTCTTATAACTAAAATTTAATATATTTTGGTATACATTTAATGATTTGGATCAAAGACTAAAATTTTCTTATAATCTTCCTACTTTTCTTTTTTTCCAAGTAAATAACCAAAACCCTAAAAACTTGAGTTAAAGGGTTTGGATGGGCTCGGATGGTAGAAAGCATGTTAGAAACATTTAATGATTTGTGAATGGGATTGAGGGAAAATCAGGGGTGATACAGATGTGTTTATGTATGTTCCATCATGTGGAATGGGTAATGATCATGGTATTGAGTTTGGGAGTGGATTGGATCAAAGAAAGAGGGAGGTTGCTAAAACATAATAGAAAACTTGAGTAGAACGGAGCAAAACTCGACCGAGTTTTGGTGAGTATGGGTCGAGTTTCTAATGTCGAGAGACAGGGAAAAAACTCGAGCGGAACATGCCAAAACTCGACCAAGTTTTAGTGAGCTCGGGTCAAGTTTTTACTATCGAGAGGGAGGAAGAGAAACTCGATTGGAAATCACCAAAAACACGACCGATTTTTCCTTTATTGTCTAGGAAATCTTGGTCTTGAAGCCAATCTAAGTTATTTAACCATTTCATATGCAAATATATGATTCCTATTTGTATTATGGATGATTTAATATGGGTTATGATCGTATTAAAGGTAAGGATCAAATTAGAGAAACGTCCAAAGACAAAGGGGTAGCGAAATAATGACAAAACTTGCGAGAAATTCCTAACCTAGTCGCTCAACTATTATGAGCATTGTATTTGGGTCATGAAGTGGCCCAAATACGATATCAAGAAACTGAATATGATATGATATTAGGGATATAGTGGATTATGTTATTGGAATGTGTTTTATAATGAATGAATGGATTATGTTGTGTGACATGTATTGAATGAATGTGACGTAGCGGAAAACATAAAACCAAGTTTAAAGCACTAACTTGAAACTGCAACTCGATTTGAAGCACCAACCAAAAACTGAAACTATTAGGGATATAGTGGATCATGTTATTGGAATGTGTTTGATAATGAATGAATGGATTATGTTGTGTGACTGTATTGAATGAAAGCGACGTAGCGGAAAACGTAAAACCAAGTTTAAAGCACCAACTAGAAACTGCAACTCGGTTTGAAGGACCAACCGAAAACTGAAACTCCATGTTGATTCAATAATGCAGAAAACTTGTTACTATTATAAGCATTATCTCCTCCCCAAAACTTACTAACAACACGGCTACATGGCCTTATTTATAGTGAACAAACAAATGACTCTTACTAACACCAAAAGGACAGGGAAAGACAGCCAGCTACGGACACAAAGAACAAACACTAAACTGAAATGGAAAAAGGAAGAAAACACACAAGCTAACAACTACTACTCCGATAAAG